GTGAGTTTGGGTTTTTATGAGCATATTCCTTAACATTTAACCGTAGTTAACACTTTGGTTAACTTGCCTTCTCCAGACATTTTAGAACTTATAAAAACTAGATTTGAATTGTAATAGCCAAAAGCACCAGGCAGGTGTCAGACACATTTAAAAAGCCCTTGGGAAGACTGGAAAAAAACCAGTATTGATTAAAGGGGCAGAATTGTAAGAGCATGCGGTGTAAATATTATACTTGAATTTGTGACTGATACAGTGTAAAATAATGAAATGGTGAAAAAGTCAAGTTTAGTCTCACTAGATGAATAGAGCAGCTGGACAAATATTTTCATGTGCTTTTATGATATTTTCATTGTTTTGTAAACTTGGACACTGTAATTTTGACCATGGAATGTTAAAACTAACACTATTACAAAGGAAGCTCACTCGTACTTATTTCTGGCAGTTTTCTTGGTCACTCTTACCAGTGACGTACTTGCTGTCTAGGAGGTAAAATGTGATAGGACTAACATAGTGTAGATATTTGGTAAATAAAAATAGAAAAGAAATAACGTTAGTCTTTTCAACTTGATCTAATTCTAGGGATTTATTTATTTTGATTTTGCCATATAGCATGTGCCCTTGCCGGAGAGGGACAGAGAGAAGGAAAGTGAGAGATCACTACCCTTCCCCAGGGGGATGTCCTCGCCACAGTCCCTTCTCCTTCATTCTCTTCTTGAGATTTTGGGTGCACGCACACATGTACCTGTCAGGATTTTCAAGCTCCTCTGTTCAAGACTCAAACCACAGTCAGCCAGTGCCTTCACCACCACACCATCTGCTGACCCGTGAATTATTTTAAAAAAGAGTTGACTAACTTCTGAGCAGATGTGGGACCAATAGATTATACTATTACCACCTAAACCTTGTAGTTAGATATAAGTGGTCCCTTGTTCATAATGGGTATTAATAAAATTCTTATTTTCAAATTAACTCACACTAACATCTGTTTAGAAAGAATTACCTTTGAATTTGAATTACTGGTACTTTGTAAAGTCTTAAGGGGAGATTTCCTTTTCTTTGGACTTGAGAAAACAGAGGACATAAGAATTTTTACAGAGTACATGTCTGGAAACCAAAATCCTTCTTTTCATCCTTTCTGCCATTTAACTTGTTCTAGAACTTTTGGCATATGTTACTCAGCTTCCTTACTCTTTGTTTGCCTCAGGTTTTAAATGAGGTAGGATCGACTAAATGACTCCTAAAGTCCTTCTGCCAATAATATCTGTGAGTAGCTCTCAATGCTTGTATTTTTAAAACATAATTATTTATATTATTTTACTTAGTATTTTTAATTTGAGAGAGAGAGAGGGAGGGAGGGAGGGAGGGAGAGAGAGAGAGAGAGAGAGAGAAAGAATGAGAATGAGAATGAATGAGAAAGTAAGCCACCAGGTCTGGCCATCTGGGACCTCCTGCACCTTAACCCACCACTCCACCTGCTGGCCCCAATCCTTGTATTGGAAGCTAATGCTTATCTCCTGGGCCTGATGGTGGCTAAACATTTGGGACAACTCCTCTGTCAAGAGTAACAGTTAAGAGACTTAAATCTCTTTTCCGTTATTTATTAAGCTGTGTAACTTTGAGCAAATTACTTCACCTTTTTGTACTTATTATTTTTTTCCTATAAAAATATGATAAAAGTATCTAACTCACAGGGAAGTTGTAAAGAAAAAGGTTATAATATGAATCAAGCATTTAACAGGATTTCACAAAATTAGCCTATGCTGTTGCTGCTTTCTTTTTTTTTAGAAATGGATGAATATTTGACTTTAAATGGAACAAAAAGTGTAGCAGCACATTTTATAATCACTTAAGTTTTCTATTAGTGGTAAATGATAGTAAATATGTTTGAAAGACCAAATGTAACCTCTTTTTTTAAATAAATAAAAATAATTGTTTATTTAATTTTATTTACATTATTATTATTGTTTTGCTTTTCATTTTGCCACAGGGCATGTGTGCTCACCAGAGAGACATAAAGCAAACTGCCAGGTCTGGAACTTGGCCATGTGGGGGTCTGGCACTTTAACCACCATGTCACCTGCTGGCTCCCAAATGTAAACTTTTGCAGCTCTGCGTAACAGAATAGAAAGATTTTTGACATTCAACTTCAGATACATAATAACCTTTAACTTGTTCTAGAACTTTTGGCATATGTTACTCAGCTTACTCTTTGTTTGCCTCAGGTTTTAAATGAGGTAGGATCGACTGAATGACTCCTAAAGTCCTTCTGCCAATAATATCTGCGAGTAGCTCTCAATGCTTGTATTTTTAAAACATAATTATTTATATTATATTTGCTGGTGATGAGATTACTTTGACTTCTCATAAAATCCTAGATCTATGTAACAAATCAGTTCACTTGGGTTGCAGTTTTCAGGCCACTCACCTGAATATGCAAAATCACATATTCTCTAGGGGTCCTATGGTAGTCTTCATTACCGCTATGGCTTCTTAGTAGCACATGATGTGAATTACTCCAACTCAAAATTTCTTCAAAGTGCCAAATTCTAAGGGTAGATTTTCAGATGCCTTCGATTTTTTTTTTTTCTTTCTGTTTTGTTTCATCTGGAGAGAAAAAGCATCGTTTCATATCTACAACCTTCCTATATCCATCTCTGCGCAGTAGGGAATGATTGGTTGAGGCTAAGTTCTGTATTTTTACATTTGCAATAAAACACCACTATTTGCTTGTTCATTGGATATTTAAACCATATTAACCTTTCTGTTACCAGTACCAAGATACTGATTTTATACTGAACAGAGAAGAAATCATGAATTGACCATCATCCTGTACTTTCTGACATTGAGGTTTGAGTTACCTTATTTTTTAGAACTTCAGTCTTTGGAGAACAGGGCCCATTTCTCCAGGTTTTAACCTCTTTCCTTTAGTTAAGATGGAAATTGAAAAAGCAGTATAAGGATTAAGTTATATTGCCTACTTAAATATCTTCACTAAAGTACTATTTTATGTCACACCCTTTCTTTTATGGAGAGTTGCTGTAAGAACAACAAAACTATTACAGAGTTGGCATGATAATAGTTACAATAAAAACATGAACACCAGAAATTTCCTTTTTGATTATTGTCAGGCCACAACTTGCCTAATTAATTGCCCTAAAATGAATAAAATCTGCATAAAAATTTCTTACCACTCCCATCCTTCAGCAAAAACCCATTCTACTAATTATCTAAAGCTCATTTTATTGAGTGAGCCCTGATTTCTTGCTTTATTCACTCTTAATTCTTTGCCCATGGCCCCTTTTGGGTAAAGTGTAATTTACCACAAGTAAATGAAAAACACCAGTTTTGTTTATTTGACTTATATTATGTTATAAACAGGCAGTCCTTACTTTGACTGTAGTGCAGGACTATAAAAATGATCATATAAGGTGAAACCACATTGAATGATCTTAATAGTCATTGGGAAGAATTAAAACTGTTTGTTACAGGACCCCTAAAAATTTTGATGACATGGGACCAGCAGGTGGTATAGTTAAGGTGCTGGACACTCCCACATGGCCACCCACGGGTTGAGTCCTGGACCTGACGACTTGCTTTCTCACTTTCCCACTCTCTTCTGTGTTCTTTCTGGTCAAATTAAAATAAATGAATGAATAAAAGTAAATAATTCTAAAAAAGATTTTTAACAGTGCATTAAGAACTCTCATTCTTGACTATAAATTCAAAGTGACTTCAAATAGCTCATGGGAAAAATTTAGAATTAAAGCACAAATTTATTTTGGTGCAAAATTTGGACACAAGGGCACAGAAATCCTGTCTACTGGATGGAGTGATCAGTGGCAGATATCTGAAGAGAGTTTCAGACAGAGACTGTAAATAGAGGCTACACACTTTGAAGGTGCCAAGGGTCTTTGTAACATTATGAGCTACTTGGACTTAAGGTTAGTAGTATTGGTGGTCCCCATACTGTTCTACAGAAGGTATCTCTCCTGGCCAGGATAGTAGCTAGGAAGACCCTGTTGGCCCTGCAGAATCATACAGTCAGTTTCTATGTGGCCAAGTCATGTGAGGGCAGCATCTGTAATAAACATCCCAGGACTGAAAGATAATGTGTTAGATTACATGATTCCCATTCAATTTTCTTAGCTTTTTAGGGCATATCATAGAGTTATGAGAAGAATATTTCTGTGATCTTCCTTCCTGTCAGATCCGGCTATTGCTCTAGTAGACTTAAACACAAACTAAATAGGCCCACATAGAACTAGCCACTGGCTTGACCTGGGATTATATGGGTCATCTCTTTATTGGTCTTCCAAATTAGGCTGGTCTATATTCTGTGCCTAGTATCGCACCTGATACATTATAAAAAAGTAAATGGATGCATGGAGAGATAATGAACAGGTACTACCATGCTCTGTTGAGTCACAGCCTTTCCTTTGTATTGATGTGTAGTTTGGGAAGATAGACTATATTTAATTTCTAAGACATCAATAACATCCAGAGAAAATAAGCATGCTAAAGGAGCTAATTTAATTATTGAGTTGGCAGGAAAGTCATGACATTTTTCTATGTGTTTCTATATAAAAATACATAATGACTTTACTAGTGACTCATTAAAAGCATATTTTTGTTGGGACCAGCAGTTGGTGTAATGGCTATGTTGGCTGGACTCTCATGTAGTCAATCATGGTTTGAGTCCTGGACCCGGTGGCTTAAATTCATGCTGGGCGCGTGTGTGCGCGCCTGCCCAAGATCCTGAGAAGAGAATGGAGGAGAAGGGATTGCAGCATGGCCATCCCTCCGGGAGATGATTTCTCACTTTCTGTCTCTCTTTCTGTCTTTCTGGTGAGTGCATGCACCCTATAGCAAAAAACCCTCTCCAAAATAAAAAGATTTTTGTTTTATTTTTTTTTCTTCTTTTGTGTATTTTTTCTTCATCACAAGGGATATACATGGTTGCATTTAAAAATACACTGAACAGTTGCTTTCTCTTCACACAGGGTCCTGAATTAATGAATAAATATGTTGGCGAATCTGAAAGAGCAGTCAGAGAGGTAAGATTATGTCCTTAGTGGCACTTTGCATGGCAGAACCCCACTTCTTTCCTTCTGTATGGTTCATTCTGTTTTGGTAACAGACTTTGAAATTTTCAAATCCAAATTGGAATGGCATATTTTTTCTTTAGGCAAATATTATTTTCTTTGAAAATGCAATTTTGATCATCTGTAATACTTTGTTTTTAAATACTGCATAAGTTACCAACTTTTATTCTTAACAAATGAAGACGTTTTTTGAAAACGACAGGCATGTCTGTTAAAAAGGTGGGGGTTATTTCTATATCTACAAAGGAGAGACTTAATCTCAGAATGAGGTTTAAATCCTTTAAGCTATTTAAACGTGATTTAAGTAGCTCTTTAAATTGAATAAGCTTAGTAAATGAAAATATCACTGTGCTATACTTACATTACCTCTGCCTATGATTTAGACACAGCATCTTTCTGTCTCCTAAGTGTCAAAGCCAGGCCTTTAAAACCAGTGCCTGAACGATATGCCACTACTTTTTAGTGAGGAAATTACCCAACTGGTAAATCCATGGGAAGTCAACGCAAGGAGCGTCAGCCATGTGACCACTTGTCTTGGCTTTCCTAAGCACAGATTGACTCGCTTCACACACAGACCCTGTGTGAGCAGAGCGGCTAAGTAAGGGCAAGAGCACACACAGAGCAATGGATGGGTAGTCTCCATTTGTGAAATACCTGGATATTGAACAGGAGTGCTAGGAACTGGAATACTTTGTCATGAGAAAGCTAATTTAATTACCTTTTGTTCTTTTTACGTTTTTTACAGGAATTATTTATTTTATTTTAAGAGAGATTTTTGTTATAGGGTTCATGTACTTGCCAGAGAGACAGAGATAGATAGACAGAAAGCAAGAAATCACCCTCTGGGGAGATGACCACACCACATTCCTTGCTCTTTCATTCTCCTCTTGGGATCTTGGGCACGCACACACACGCACCTGGTGTTAGGGTTAAGCCACCGAGTCTGGGACTCAAACCACAGTTGACTAAGTGGGAGTCCAGCAGTGTAACCATTATGCCATCTGCTGTACTCTATTATTATTATTATTATTATTATTATTATTATTATTAATTTGCTATAGGCCACATGCGCTCATCAGAGAGAGAGAGAGAAAATGAGAAAGCAAGCCGCCAGGCTCAGGACTCGAACCACAGTTGGTCAGTGTGGGAATTCAGTGTCTTAACTACCACACCATATGCTGGCCCCTGTTGTTTTTGTTTCTTTTTTTTTAAATGTAGATGACTATCTTTTTTTTTTTTTTTTTTTTTTTTTTGGTAGAGGTTTTTGCCTTAGGGCGCCTGTACTTGCTGGAGAGAGAGAGAGAGAGTGACAGTGAGAGGAACGTGAGAAATCATCCCCCACGGGTCATGGCCATGCCAGAATCCCTTCTTCTCCTAGGATCTTGGGCACGCACAAACACATGCCTGACAGGAGTTTTGAGCCACTGGGTCTGGGTCTTAAACCATGGTTGTCATGTAGGAGTCCAGTGGCATAACCGCTACACCATCTGCTGGCCCAATGACTAATTTTTAAAACACTAACTGATAATGATTGCATGAAAAAGGAGGTATTTACTTATGTTAATGTTTTGGTAACTATTTTGTATTTTTATGGCCATATGACTTGGGACCAAAAAATGGGGCCTAGGTTGCAGGTTATGTAGATTGAATTTCTTTCTGCCTACACTGCATTTTTCTTGGTCATTTTCATGTGTCCCCCTCTTGATTATCTGACTTGTCTGCACTGTCTGTGTCTTGGTTTGCTTCTGTTTTACTATTCCAGACTTTGGCTATTTTTTTTTGTCCTGGCTTTACATTAACCACTCCTTTCCCATGTAGTCTTTGAAAGAATGACTAACACTTATGACTTTTGGGTGTATTGGGTATCTCATACTGATCTATGGCTGGTTTTACACATTGGTCCTTTTTTTTTTTTTTTAAACTTGGGTTTTTGATAGTTACTACTATATCATTTGTTGAGTTCTTACTATTTTTAGGCAGTATGCCTTTTTTTATTCGCTTCTTGAAATAATCTGTTGAGCTAAGCATTTATTATTATCTCCATTTTATAGATGTAGAAATTGAAATTTAGAGAAGTAATATTTACTCCTGAAGGTCACAGCTACTCAGTTAGTGGAGCTGGTTTTTTGTTTGTTTGCTTGCTTGCTTTTTGAGAGAGAGATTTTTGCTATAGGGCACATGAACTCGCCCAGACAGACAAAGAGAGAGAGATAGAAAGTGAGAAATCACTACCCAGAGGAGTTAGCCATGCCACAATCCCTTCACCTCCATTCTCTCAGGATTTTGGGCACCCACGCACATGCTCCTGGCATAAGTTTTAAGCCGCTGAATCTGGGACTCAGACCACAGTCAACTACGTGGGAATCCAGCAACATAACCATTGCTTCATCTGCTGGTCCCAAAGCTGGGTTTTCTTTTCTTTCTTTTTTTTTTTTTTTAAAGAGAGATTTTTGCTCTGTAGCATGTGTGCTTGCCATAGAGACAGAGAACCAGAGGGATAGAAAGCAAGAAATCATGCCTCAGTTGGTTTCACCACAATCCCTTCTCCTCTATTCTCCTCCTGGGATCTTGGGCACACATGCACATGTGCCTGGTGTGAGTTTTAATCCCTTGGGTCTAAGACTTGATCCACAGTCGACTACATGGGAGTCCAGCAATATAACCATTACACCGTATGCTGGCTCCCAGAGCTAAGTTTTTAAATAAGATTATTTAATTGCTTAACTAAGTTGCCTTCTATGCACTTAATATGAATATGGATTGATACTCTTGTCTCAGTAAGCACTATCGAAAAAGATACTTCACATCCATCTTAAAGTCCTGGGCATCTGTTAGAGGGTTTACACAGAGTGGGCTGATTAAGTTGTATATAATTGATTTGGTTCCAAATGCAGTTTTCAAATTAAATGAGTTGTAGAATTTTTTAGAATTTTTCATCTTTAACTAATGAGGCGCTCTTTCCACTAGATCTTCCGAAAAGCGAGAGCGGTGGCTCCTTCCATTATTTTCTTTGATGAACTTGATGCTTTAGCTGTTGAAAGAGGCAGGTAAGAAATACTTACTAGCATTGCTAGTGTGTATTAGCTATTATAGGATAGAGTAAATAGCATTTCTAATATGGAAGTTACTTACTAATACATTTGGGCTAAAGGAAGCATTTTTTAATTAATTAATTTTCTTATGTCCATTAAGTTATTTATGTAATCACCTTATAATACTTTCATATCATTAGCAAAAAAGAGACACTGATATCAGTGACATTTGATTTTTGTAGTTTATTGTCTACAGAGACATCTTCCTATTGCCTTTCAAAATTAAGGTTGTTATAAACAAATTGTTAAAATTGAATAAAAATGATTAAGCACAATTCTTTGAAATAGTAGAACTAATTTATAGTAAAAGGTATTATTACAGACTTCCAAATTTCTTGAAATAAACTGTTTCCTAAAATGTAATTGGATAGAATAGAATTTAAATTAGTATTAATAGTTTCATTCCTAAATCTCAGACAATATAGGATTATCCATGATGTCATTTTATATAGGTTTGTGTGAATGCATACATATGTATGTGTGTCTATGTTTGTATACGGTGATTACTTTTCTCTACAAATGTTTGGAGGTGCTTTAAGTAATGTATACTACAGGCGTTTCATGTTAGATAATGTTAATTGGTGTACTTGGTCCATAATTTCTTGGTACATATATTGACTGTAAAATTTCACTAGTGGGTAATTACAATAAAGGTAGAAGGTAACTTCTAAGTCTCAGGATTAAATGGGACAAAATGCATTGCTATTATCTACCTTCCTACTTAAAACTGCTTCATCAGAAGCATTGTCACTAGGAAACTGTCATTAGGGGGTAGATAGTCCTGCCTCTCTTCCCCCATTCATTTGCTATTCCCTAAATGCTTCCAATCTTTTAGTTTTATGAGTTGAGGTACTCAAGCTCTCTTATTGCTTCCGAGTTGAAGTGACATAAAAGATTACAAATAGCTTAAGTTTACCTTAAGTTATAAGAGAAGAAAAAGAGCCCTGAGAAGTTTGCTGAAGTAGTGTCACTCCCACATTAAGTGACATCAGAAACATCTGGTTTTGGAGGCTGAAAAGGAACAGGGTGGGATTCATTGTTAAATAGGAACCAGATGGGAGGTAGAATATGTAGCAGAGTTCTCATAAAATGCTCCTGAAGTAAAATGGTGTGGGAAATAAGGTGGGGCCCTTTGTAGAAATAATCGTGTCTTTGGAGGCGGTTTGGTTCAGTACCAATTTGCAGACATATTAGAAATGTGAATGATTTGCAGCTTCTAGATATCATTTTCTCTTGTAGTCTTTTTTGTTGTTGTTAAGTTTATTTTTATTTCTTTCTTTCATTTGAGAGAAACAGATAGACAAGCACTCTTAACCATGCCTCATGCCATGATCCACACCTAACCCCCTCCAGTCTTTCAGTCAGCCAAGATCATGGGCACACATGTATGTGCCAGGCATACTAGATTGATCTGGGAACTGGATCCTGGTCCTCCATATGAATTCCAGCATTGCAGTACTACTTCACCACTGTGACTGTGGCCTTTTTTTTTTTTTTTTTAAGTTTATCTTTATTTCTGTAGTGAAAGAATACATGATAATGAGAGAGCATTATTTTTCTTTATACTGAACTTTGGAGGAAACGTGTATTATATACATCCTTGTCTCAGTGGCTTGTTCAAATCAAGTAGAGATAGAGTCTCTGCAATTTTTTTTTGTATACTAAAATTTCTGGCTATAATTTATCAAGTTGGTTGATATTTCAGAAAAGAAATCTAAAGGTGGTAAAGAAATATAATGCTGATGGGTCCAAAATGGAGACTTTTAATTGTACTTTATTTGCACTGAGTATTCTGGGATTTTTTTGTTTGTTTGTTTGTTTGTTTTTGAGAGGTTTTTGCTATAGGCTGTGTGTGCTCGCCAGAAAGACAGAGAAAGAGAGACAGAAAGTGAGAAATCACCCCCAGGGGGGATGACCACGCTGCAATCCCTTCTCCTCCATTCTCCTCTCAGGATCTTGTGCGTGCATGCACATGCGCCTGGTGTGAGTTTAAGCCACTGGGTCTGGGATTCGAACCGCTGTTGACTACATGAGAGTCCAGTGACATAGCCATTATGCCAACTGCTGGTCTCAGCAATGAGTTTTCTATAGTTTTGTTTTATTTTTTAGTTTGCTGTAGGGCACGTTTGCTCACTGGTGAGAGAAAGGGAGAGAGAGAAAGTGAGAAAGCACCTCCAGGTGGGATGACCATGACACAGTTCCTTTTTCTCTGCTCTCCTTTTGGGATTTTGGGTACACATATACACATGCGTAATGTGTTTTTCAAGTCACCATGTTTGGGACTTAAACTGCACAGTAGACCATAATGGATCCAGCTGCCTTAACCACTGTACAACCTAGCTGGCACCGTAGTTTATTTTTTTATAACTTTTAACTATCTCATAGAGTGACATTCTACTTTTTTTTTTTTTTTAATAGAGATTTTTGCTATAGGGTGCATGCACTCATTGGAGAGACAGACAGAGAGACAGAAAGCAAGATATCACCCCCCCAGGAGGGTGGTCACGCTGCAATCCCTTCTCCTCCATGCTCCTCTCGGGATTTTGGGCATGCATACACATGCACTGGCATGAGTTTTAAGCCACTGTGTCAGGGACTTGACCTGCAGTCGATTACGTGGGAGTCCAGCGATGTAAACATTTGCTGATCCCAATAATTATTATTTAATTTAAGTTAGTTATTATTTTTACTCAATTTGACCAGAGAGAGACAGAGAGAGAGAGAGAGAGAAGGGGAGAGAGAGAGAGAGAGAGAGAGAGAAAGAGAAAGAGAAAGCAAGCTGCAAGCTGCAAGGTCTGGGACTTGAGCTATGGTCATCCTAGTGAGAGTCCCATGCTTTAACCACCATGCCACCTGCTGGCTCCTTGTTCTTTTTTTTTTTTTTTTTCCTAATTATATAATGGACTAGTATTGCCTAGAAGTGATTATTTTTTTCTAATTAGAATGCTATTACTTGAACACTAAAATAAAAGGACCACATATATTTTTTTTGTTCTTTGGCTACTTGAATTAAACACAATTTCTAGACATTGGAAAAACAACAACTGACAGATATATGAGAAATATGAAACTTCTCAAGGTACTAAGCAATTTCATACATTACTAAACTACTCATGGAATAGGAAAACATAGGAAAGAAGACCCATAGAAAGAGACATTTCTACATAATGTTAGGCCACAGGATAGGCATAAATTTCATTCGTTCAGAGTGATTACCCATTTTCGATGATAGCACTCAGTTCAAACCCTTATTTTACCGGTCTCAATATGAGTGTGCATAAAAAAGACTGTTTCTTGTTATCAAGATTTTAATTTCCAATTTCAAGATATTTAACAAATTGGATAAAGCATTATGTCTTTAGTACCTTATATGTGATTCCAGCTAGTCCCAGGGTCCTGAATCATCTTTATCACATGAGAGTGATTGCTTAGTCTTGCCAAACTTTACAGAACTAGAACAGACTTGCAACTGGGAACATACATCTGGGACTTAGGGTCACTAGTTGGAGAGTCTAACCTTGTTTTTTTAATTAACCTCCAAATAAAGTGACTTCCCTTATTTGGACCCAGCTCACCAGAATATGGCCTTTTGCTATATTCCATCCTAATCTAACAACTCCAGTGAGTGTAGGTTCTGTACTCATCATCTTTCTCAGGGTTATGCATCACTAATAGCAGAGCTGGGATTAGAATATTTAATTCTTGAGCAGATACTCGAACTGCCCCCCTCCCCCCACCCTGGCTTTATGGGCGCGGGGGGGTGGGTAGACATCCTTGACAGGGTCTCTCTTTGTCTCCATTCTTCTGCTCCATTTTCTCCATTAGCCAGGATTATGAGTGTGTGTAAATTGAGCCTAATATGTTCAGGTTGACCCAGGAACTGTACCTGGGCTTTTAACCCTCATGTGACCACCAGCCTCCCAAGTAGTGGAGCTACCCACATGCCATCACAGGTGGGCCTCTGACCTTCCAAACTCTTTTATTTATTGTTTATATTCTTTGTGACTCACATAGGTAATGTTCCCCCTCCTTATTGGCCTGTTGTAAGATTCCTTTGAAAGCATTCATTCATTCAGTAGCTGTTTATTGAAAACTGACTGTGCAGCAGGCTTTGTATTAGAGAATCGGGGAACAGGACTGAGGGCAAGTTTCTTAACTTCTTTCAGCCTTAGTTTTTTTTAATCTGTAAAATGGTGGCAATACATACTAGTAACAAATTCTAGGTCGTTAGAATTAAATACATGTAAAATGCTTTACGTAGTGTCTGGTGTTTAGTAACTGCTTAGAAAATGTTATGTTTGTTTATATAGTCATTTCTGTAAGATATTTCTATAAATAACAATTAATTCCCTATAGATAGAAAATAGTAGTCAATCAAGATAGAATTGAGTTCACCCCAACAGAACTTACATTCTAGTAGAGAAAACTGATTATATAAAGCATTTGGGAATTAGAAAAAGTATTTTATAGATGACCAGCACTATGCCATTTTGTCAGTCTAAGTAAGAGGCCATCAGTTGTACGACATGTCAATGTTTTATATATACTTACTGAAGAAAAATTTTGCCATTAAATGTGAACTGTTGCTGAGGAATTCCCAACTCCAAGAGACATCCTGATTTCACAAATTGTAAATATGAAAAATGTTTTTAATCTTAGTGTTAGAAGAAAGTTTCATTATTTGAGTGAAGGAAAAGATGATATGATCTTTTTCTGTTTTATAAAACTAATGCTTTATATAAAAATGTTTTGGGATATTCTTTTATGACTAGAATATAAAAAAATGATTAAATAATGAAAAAAGTTAAGTGCTCCATTAAAATTTGACTGGTTGAGTGATATCTCCTGTGGGGTACCGGAGTATCTGTGATATTAATAACAGCTTTCTTGTATAGCTGTTTTTGCACTTAGTATCCAGAATCGATTTCCACTTGGGCTGGCTAGGGAAAAAAGAA